CCTACACCTTAAATAGAATTTCAGTCCAATCTCATACTGTGATATGCTGTATTTACCTTTATTTGGTGCCCCCCTGTGCAGCAAATCTATACATCCGTGCCCTGGTGACCTCAGATGTGACCGTCTAACTTGAACAGGTATGATATGTGTCACTTCAGAGTGGAACCTGTAATAGCCAGCATGGAGTTCACCTAGTTTTCCTTTCGCTCTTAATGACAAGCAATGTTCCAGACAGTGGCCACTCCTCCATTCTGGGTCCCAGAGTCAACCACAGTCATAGCCAAGACTCCATTAATATGGTCTGGTACACTACTTGAGGGTACTGGAGGTAAAAGGCATAAGTTACATAATTCTATACCTCTGGGCTGCTCTGAAACAAGAGAAGTTTTTGTAGGCTCTATGGAAACACTAAAACAAAAATTTCCTTTTTGACATTCCATTTCTACTGTTCTCTTTCTCTAGGTTTATGTGTATGGAAATACTTCACAAAATTTTGACCTACAAAGTTGTTTTGAAAACCAATGTTAGTGTATGGAAACAAGAGCATCTGCATATATTCAGGACTACAATAGCATGTGATATCCCATAAATTACTGTATTGCTCATTTCTCTGGCAAGTGGAAAATCCTATTTTAAAGAAGTGTTAAGAAAAAATAAACACAGAATATATAAATTGACACATCTTAGGACACTATTTTTGGCTATCTAGATATAGATATAACTATTTTAAGAAATCTTTTTTTAATGTCTTTTCTCTTTAGCCACCAAATGCTAAGGAATGTGTCTGCAACCAAGACGTTAAATAGGTGATAAAAGATATGTCTCAGTCTTTTACCTACTTCCCTACTCAGCATAAGGACTGTGTCTACTGTCATTATACATGGCTATTACTTAGTTGTTTTTCTACAACCTTTTATACAATAGCAGCATAAGATGTAGAGAAAATGAAGTTGTGTCTTCCCTAAAATCAAAGTGTCTCCTCTTTGAATTTAATATCAGAACACATGAGTTTCTACTTAAAGCAAATACTTTATCCCTTCTTTTCCTTCTCATTACTATCATTAAAAAATAAAATACTAATTGCAGCATTTTGTCATAGTTAATTTCTCTATTATAAGTACCCTGTTAATAAAATATTATGCACAACCCATGTGTTGATGAGCAACAGAAAAAATGAAAACTACATAACTAAGCAATTTGACACTCTTAAGAGATAGTAAGGCTATCAGTATAACCCTTTTGTGAAAGTAATTGAGATGATGAAGAGCTGACTTTGAGATTAGAGTTACAGGGGTGGCAGTAGGTGAGAAGACAGTGAAGAGGTGGGTGGGTATGAATGGGCTACCTGACCCTGGAAATGGCCATATCTTTGATATCACTGACAACTATACTTTATTGACCCTTGTGGTTATTCATAAAAGTCTCTTTAGTATAGATAATCTACATATGTTTTCCTCTTCCGACTGTAATCTCCATAAATGCAAGCTTCGTGACTGCCTTTTACATCCTAAAACCCAGTATAGTTCCTGGTTTAGGTGGTCATTAAATATTAAAAAGATCCAGCCTTTTATGTTTTTGGTTTTATTTCAGAGAATTCTGTGGATGCACATAGGTTTCTATCTAGTCATTACATTCAGCTCAATGTCCAGAATCTCCAGGTGTGGTTGAATCTTCTTTAGGTTTAGGAAGTGATTCTTTATGGTTCAGTGACCTTTGAGCTAAGAGACAATGATCTCCCCACGCTCATCCAATAAATAATGGTGGAAAGGGACAGGTAATTACAAAAATTCCTATATAGAAAATAATGGAGAATGTGGAATAATCACTGGTCTATAGAAATGCTGGTATCCTCGGCGAACCAGCAGTTAGCATAATGGCTATGTCGCTGGACTCCTGTGTAGTCGACCGCGGTTCGCGTCCCGGATCCGATGGCTTAAAACTCACGCCGGGCTTGTGTGCGTGTGTGCCCAAGATCCCGAGAGGAGAATGGAGGAGAAGGGATTGGGGGTGATTTCTCACTTTATGTCTCTATGTCTCTGTCTGGCGAGCGCATGCACCCTATAGCGAAAAACCTCTCCCCCCCCAAAAAAAAATGCTGGTATCCTGCAAGATAGGCATTATGAACCTCCCTATCCTTTGATAAAGCATTAATTCTACTCTTTTGAAGGACATCCCTGGCAAATCATCCTTTGAGGTCTTTGCTTCCATGTTTTTTGGCTTTATTCAGTATTCTTTATCCTCACAAAATAGGGATATTTAGCTTCTGCAGCTAATTTCTTGATTATTTCTAATAATGTTTTGTATTTATCACTTGTTTTTTAAAGAATTATTTAATTTTATTTATCATCATCATTTACTTTTAAAGAATTATTTAATTTAACTTTATTTATTTATTTATTTTAATTTGAGCAGGGAGGGACAGAATGAGAGTGAGAAAGTGAGAAAGCAAGCCACCAGGTCCGGGACTTGAACAGTGGTCTGTCATGTGGGAGTCCAGCACCCTTAACCACCATGCCACCTGCCAACCCCATCATTATCATTTTTCAATCTGACCAGCAAGAGACAGAAAGAGAGAGAAAGATAAAGTGAGAAAGCAAGCCTCCAGGTCCAGGACTCAAAGCACAGTCATGTGAGAGTCTAGTGCCTCAACCACCATGCCACCTGCCAGTTCCCATTAACACTTGTTTTAATTACATGTTTTATATTGACTTGGTTGAGGAATAATATTTATACATTAAGTGCATTCATTTTTAGGTGTACAGTTCAATGAACTTTGACCAGTATATATATTACCACCTCAGTCAAGGGATAGCATTTGTCCACTATCCAAAAAATTGCTCATGGTGGTTAAGGCCCTGGACTCCCACATGGCCGACTATGGTTCAAGTCTCAGACCTGGCAGCTTGCTTTCTTATTTTTTCTCTCTCTCTTTCTTTCTCTCTCTCACTCTCTCTGTCTTTCACTGGCGAGCGCATATGCCCTATAGCAAATTTTAAAAAATAATAAATAAAATTAACGATTCTTTAACAACAACAAAATTCCCTGATGCTTCCATTTAGTCAGTTTTCTCCTGCCACTCTAGCACATCCCAGACCCCAACTATCACTGGCATACTATCACTGTAAGTAAGGTTTACACATTCTAAAATTTTATCAAACATCCAGCTAGTGTTAAAATTTCCAATTGTCCCATAAATACAACACTATTTAAACTGTTTGAATAACAATTCAAATAAAAATTACATATTGAAAATAAGTAATATGTCCTTTAAATCTCGTTTCATTTCATTTTTTCTCCCTTCTTCCTAAAACTGTTTCAGAATCTGGGTCATTTGTCCTGTAGATTTTTTAACAATCTAGGTTTTGCTGATTGGGTGTCTAATATGTTCCTCTGTTCTGTAGATAGTGGTTCCGTAAATGGTGGTTCTATTTAGGGCATTGATCTGAATCAGATTTGAGTTTTTGGGCTCATGAATTTTAATTAGGTTGAAAGATACTGTATTCTGATTGGCCAGATTAGGGGGCCAAAGTGGTGGTGGTCTCACAGGACTAGTTTGATTGTTACCAAATTTAGAGACTTTTTAGTCCGCTACTGTAATGGTTTACAGAGGCAAATTTATTTTACATATTTATATTTACTAACAATTTTCTACTATATACTCTTTACATACAATAACCTCTCTATATAAACAATATTTCCACCAAAATAGAGGTGGCCTAATTACAGAGTGCTTTGGATAGCATGGACTGTCGCACACATCGCTCTCTAGGTAAGTAAGCGATCACCTACTGTGTCTTATCTAGGAGGTAGGTAACTGTAACTAAAACTTGTAAAGCTAAGTTTCAATACCAGAAAGGTGACAAGCAAAGGTCAGGAACGAAGAAGGGGTGATCGCAGGCCCCAAAAAGAAAACATGCAAGACACTAAGTGACGACACATTTAAGGGATGAGAACCCTAAAGGTAAGAATACCGCGCGGAAGCACTAAGAATAAAACTTGGTCTACTTTACCAGGTTATTTTTAAGGAATATTAATGGTTTCATAAAACATTCCTTGGGGATGAGTACCAACTTGGAGCCAGAGAGAAGCTTCATTTGAAAGTCAGAAGACTCTGGACAGGATGCCAAGCTTTATCGGTGGTCACTTAGCCCATAAAACCCCACACTTGCCGGGGTCAGACAGCGTACATCCCCCTGCCCTGGGCCAGCCTGGGCAGCCCAGAGCCACGCCCCTCCCGGCAACCGGCTCTGCGCTTGCGTCACTTCCGGACCTGACTTCTCATCCGGGTCAGGCTGAGCTGCTTGCTCTCTGTGACTGGTGGAGGTGCCGCGCAGTCCGCGTTATCTCCTCCCTGGTGAAACCGGTCTGCAGTATCTCCCGGCAAGAAGCCACTCCGTCCCAAGCAAAGAAAGACGAGGAGGCGACCCGGGAGAGGGCAGCGGCCGTGCTGGACCCTGCCGGTGCGGGCTGGCGACTCTGATCTTCCGCTGGCTGCTGTCTCTTGGAACCGGGTGCCAGCTCTGAGGGGCCGCCAGCAGACAGAACCCCCTTCCCCGGCTCCCCTGCCCACCCTGCCGGGGAGGGCGGAAGATGCCGGTGAAGAAGAAGAGAAAATCCCCTGGGGTGGCAGCGGCAGTAGCGGAAGACACAGGCCTCAAAAAGTGTAAAATCTCCAGGTACCACCTCCCCCACTCTTCAAGCTTTCCTCCTTCCTCCTCTGCTGGACAGCTGGAGGAAAAGGAGTCGCGCCCAGCCTCCAGGGCTCCGGCTGGGGAGAGGTGAGGCCTCTCTGATCCAGCTAGGCGGTAGATGCGGAACGCCGCCAGTCTCCGCGCGGGACCCAACCTCGTGTTCGCGTGGGCTTGCGCTCTGGCGTTCGTAGAGGGACTGGAAGAGTCGCTCTACGTTAGTCTACGTGCCCTGGAGAGTGGGGTTGCAGAGATGCATAAGTATACATTGTGTACTTTCCCCCATCGCCTACTCCCTTTTTACAGTACTTCCTAACCTTTCCTCCCAGATCTAGGAATGAGTCCAGATAGCAAAAGAGTAACTTCTAGAATTTCTTCGTAGTGTGTCAAGAAAAGAGCAGAGTATAAGTAATCTTGACAACTGCCCTGGTAATGTTAGAAAGGAAAACTCCTATGCTATTATTAATTGGCTTCCAGATTTAGTATTAGGAGTGGCCTAACCAGACGGTCCTAGCAGGGAAACTTTGAAGCCCCATTTTCTGGAAGAACAGGGTCTCCACCTGTGCCAAGTCCCTATGTGCACAGTTGGGAAGGCCTTGCATGCTGTTTCCTTGCATTCAGGACACTATTAGTTCTCAGTAAAAATATTAATTTGGGAGGTGGTATATTCTGTAACCTCATAGAGAAAAAGAAGACAGCAGAACTGTAGTTACAGCTCTTTGATCCCATCTTAGCATATTTTTGAGGCATGGCAACATTGAGTGTTGCCAAAGATCACAGTTTTATAGGTGTGAAAAGTGAGTTTTTCTTAAATCCCGTTATTGGGTGACTTTGTTGGCATTTGATGCTACAACTTCAGATGCTACCATTTAAAAAAGACTAGCCAGCATTGTGAGGAGGAAATCATGATGGAGCTCACTTTAAAAAGAGATCTTAAAATATAAAGCAGATGTCTATCTAGTCTGCGTCTTCCTTTTTGTAATTGGTTTACTTTTTTTCCATTATAGTATTTTGGCAAAGGAATCTAAGAAGTATTTCTTGGGCAATATGAGAGATGATGCAGTTTTCTCATACGTTTTGGTAGCTAACATTAGAGTTTGACATGGTTACTTTCCTAGCTCTTAACGAATTTTTACAATACATAGGCACATTGTTTCATTGCACACACTTGTGGCCATCTTAAATGTATAGTATTACCAAAATTATTTTAAATTACTTTAAAATACCAGCATTAAAATGGCTGAGCAGACACTATTATTTGAACTCAGGTGATGTTCCATCATTTTTTATTTTAAATTTTGGTACCCTTATTTTTCATTAGTCAACTGGAGAAGTTCTAGCATTTCAGTATTGTTATGATAGTGTAATAGATCAAGTTTCTTGAGAAAAGATTCTCTAAAGTCCATTAAATCCTAGAGGTATTTTTAAATTTCCTAGCTTATAATTTTATGAAAAACAATAAAAATAATTTTATGAAAAAATAAACAGAAATGATATTAAATAATGTTGGCCCAACTATTTGACTGTTGGTTAACTTTTAGAATTTTGTGTGTGGAATTTAATATACCCGTAGGTTCTAAGTCATTTATCTTTAAATCTTTGTTTAGACTTGGTACATGCTTTAAAAAATTCTCGATATATCATTTTATTTTGAAATAGTGACTCATTAAGTGTCAAATATACTTTGTAAGATTTTCTTCTCAAAGGTTCATGTATTAAACACAAATATAATTTCCATGCAAATCAGTAGCAGAACCTAAGTAAAGATTTTTACTCTCCTAGTTTCTAATACTGCATTGAGCCATAGGTTGAACTTTTGTGTGGTCTTTTGGAACCTGGGAAATAATTTTAGTTGATTTTGGAATTTCATAGTGAGCAAAAAGTAGCATGCGGCTTTTGTTAGCCAGAAATTCTAAAGTTTAGACTACTGTTTCAAATTGCAGATACTTAACAACTTCAGTTTTTTTCTATAATGCCAACTATTAAAAAAAAAAAAAGAAAGAAAGACAACTTTGTGGGGGCTGGCAGGTGGTGCCATGGTTAAGGTGCTGGACTCCCACATGGCCAACCACAGTTCAAGTCCTGGACCTGACCGCTTGCTTTCTCACTTTCTCTTCTGTCTCTCTGGTCAAATTAAAAATAATAATAATAACAAAAAAGAAAATAAAGTAATTCTTTCAAGATAACTTTGTTTAATTTGAATTTATGTAGTTCATTCTGAACATAGTCTTTACTAGAAGTTAAGACTTGATTAAAACCTTTGGCGTTTGTCTGTTTTTCAAGCTATTGCAGATCCCAAACCCCTGCTAGACTGATAAGTGGAGAGGAGCATTTTTCAAGCAAGAAGTGCCTGGCTTGGTTTTATGAGTATGCAGGTAATAAAACTAAGAAAATATGTCATGCTTTAAACATTTTGGGGTTCTAATTTAACATTATTTGTTGCAGGCCTGCTGTGTGTTATTGCTGTGTGTTGGGATCAGGGTCAAGACTGAGGATTGGGTGTTGGCTTAGAATTTGGTGCCATTTCAGGCTTATACTCCTTTAAATATTCAGTATATATTTAGTGGGAGGAGAAGAACTCATTTACTATTTAAACATTATAAACAGATTCATTTACTAATTTATATCTATTGGCTAAAGTGGTATTCTGGAAGACAAAAAATACATAATGAAACATTTTTATTTGATTTACTTTTAATTGACATTTTCATGTTTGAAACTAACATTCTCTGAAAACTTGGGGAGACATAGTAAACCTGAGACATGTTATTACGTAATATATTTACCCTTTGATGATTGTTACTAGCCTTTCACTTTTACTTCAGATACAGCAATAATTAAGGAAGTAAACAGACTGATAGTAATACAGTGTGAGAAATGTTAGGTTAGGAAGATGCACTGTGAAAGTTCATAGGAGGAATATATGCCACCCTTGAAGTTGTTAGGGAGAACTTAGCTAAATCATGTAAGGGGGGGACAAAAAGCCCAGGATGGAGCCATATCTTAGACATGAAAGTCAAAGTCAGACAGAAATAAGGCTACAGAACTAAGCAAATATATGAAAAAAAGAAACATTTATTTCTTGTTTTCTTCTATCCTTTTCATAAGCATATATGATTTTTTCCCCCTTAGAAGAATGATTCTGGTCTTTTGGAGTTAGCAACTTGAAAGTTTTGCCTCCTTCCCCCCCTTTTTCTGTTTCCTTTTTTTTTTTTTTAACCTGCTTCCCTGTTTTTTTATTTTTTGTTTTTCTCCCCATCTTTTACCACTATCATTCTCAAAATCTTTGCTTAAAATAAAACATAGATATATATAAAACATGTATGTATATGTAGGTATTGCCTTATATTTAGTGCTAACCCATGTAAGGTTGAGTATATGCTGAACTTGAGGTATAAGTTTAGGATAAGTGTATGCAAAAAGAGAGTTTGAAAGGGGGGCAGCAACTTTACTGTTGTGATCAGCTGAGTGATCCCAAAAGTATAATTTAAAAATTGTTTAGTAACAGAACAGATTCTTTCTAGACCAGATAAAAATGCTATTACTGGCATCCCCAGACAACCACTAACCCAATTTAAATGAATTCATTCTCTTACTGACCTCCATTTAAAATGTTGACCCATTATTGAAAATGCCAGTTTTCTGGTATACATGGTATAGAATCAAAAAAGTCATTCATCTTACTGTACTTATAAAGGTTATTAGATACTACAAAATAGTTTTTTTTTTTTCTTTTATTCTGACTTGCTTTACCTCCCCTTGAAACTTGGGTAGCATAACATTCTAATTAATTAATTTATTCCCAATATTAGCATTTTTAATAGCTGATTTAATAACTACTATTGTTATATCAGGAATTATGCCAAGTACCTCAATTTTAATTATGCCTATACAGTGAAATAAGTGATATTGCCCCCATTTTATAGATAAGAAAACTGAAGCTTGGGTTAAGTACAGAATTTGCCCAAGGTCATACAGTGACAATAGCTAGGATTCATACTCAGGTCATTCTGACCCGATGCTTTTAACTAATTCTGTCTTCAAATACAGCTTTTTTTTTTTTTTTTTAATTTAAATATGAACCCAACTATGCAGTTGCAACTAATTTTCACTTGTTAAAAAAAAATTAGTAAGTGCACTAGAAGTTAATAGAAGTTCATTTTTTTGTCATTAGTGATTAATTCAGTAAACAGTTATTGAGTACTTGTTTGTGAGTCAGGCAGGCATAGTGCTAAGTGTTGAGCATGCAGTAGTGAGCAAGTCAGACAAGATCCCTGTCCTCATAGTACTTGCCTTCTACTGACGAAGACAGATCAGTAAATAGGTATGTAGGAGAGATCATTGGAAACTGTGAAAGCTTATGTTTATTAAAGGTTTAGGAATAGAGGGAACCAGCAGTTAGCGTAATGGCTATGTCGCTGGACTCCCACGTAGTCGACCGCGGTTCGTGTCCTGGACCCGGTGGCTTAAAACTCACGCCGGGCACGTGTGCGTGCGTGCGTGCCCAAGATCCCGAGAGGAGAATGGAGGAGAAGGGATTGCAGCGTGACCATCCCCCCTGGGGGGTGATTTCTCGCTTTCTGTCTCTATGTCTCTCTCTGTCTGTCTGGCGAGCGCACGCGCCCTACAGTGAAAATCTCTCCAAAAAAAAAAAAAGGTTTAGGAATAGCCTGTTAAGGAAGGGTCGAATGGACTTTGAGATAGAGTGAGTAGGGAAGGCTTCTCTGTAGACTGTTTCAAGCATAGACCTGATTGACAGGGAAGAATTAGTCGTTTACCAAATGAATAGTCCTGTCTTCAAATGAGAGTATACCTTATTAAAATGGAAACAGTTGTGCCTATTGAGAATTATGCATGTAAAGTCCTTAGCACTTGATATATAGTCAGAACTCAATAAAGATTAGCTACTATTAAGACAGTAATTACATAATAAGGTCTGATTAATTGTGGTTTTTTTTAACAGTGTTACAAAATTATTAACAGTTCTGATGTAGCTCATGTGGAAGGTGCAGTGTCCTGATCATGTTGTTGCTGTCTTGGTATTAGGCCCTGCAGATACAGCTGGAAACATTTCTTTATCCTTTAAATTGACAGTGTTTGGTTTTCTTTTAGTTTTGAAATTTTCACTGAACTTGTTACTATAACATTGTTAACAAATCAAGACCTCTCATTCTTGAAGGATCTTTTAAAAGTCTTACAAAGAATCAAAAATTAAGGTTAGAATTCCATAGAACTAGTATATTTACTCAGCTAGTGGAGAGAGTAAACTAGCAGAATGAGCTAAATCATTTCCATAGTTTCTTACAGTGAGGGGAAACATAGTTGCCTGAAATAGTTAATTAAATTCAGCTTCAGAAGTTTTACTCAGGAAATAGTTTTATTTAAAGGGTATGGTTCAAAAGTATAATTGACCTTATGCAATTAGGTAAAGGAACATCAGTATTAGAAATTCTGTTTTAGACTTGATCTGTTACTATTTACACTGCTAAAGTCATTTTAATTTACACACCTTACCTATATAAGATCATACACATGCTGTATATAGCTGTAGATAACGTAACTTGATTCTAATCAAGTTTTAATCACTAATTACTAACTTATCCCCTAGTTGCTACATGGCCATGTTTTATAACAATAGCTGAAACTTCTTGACAACTTTTCAGCTTTCTGTAAAAGCAACTTTGAGGGCAAGTCTGCTTTCTCATTGAGTTAGAAAAATTTAGTGTATGTTCCTATTGTGGCTCAAAAAAAAAAAAACCTGTGTATTTTTCCATCACATTTTTTAACCTGAGTTTTGTTTTTTTTCTTACTGTATGTAAGGGTTTTTTTTTTTTTTAGCAACTTTATTGTATATGTATGCTCTACAAATTACAAAATTAACATATCTTGTTAAAACAATATATAAGGAAGTGAAAATCTCCTAGAATTACCACTTCCTTTCCAGTTTAACATCCAGTGCAACATTAGTACTTATTTAAACTTACCAGCATTTACCATTTTGCACACACAAAAAAATTTAAAGGGGCTTGATTTCACAATGATTGCATTCTTTTATTAAAAGACTGCTGGACATTGGATTCATGTTGTGCTTGTAACCTAATAGTGGTGTTGTAAAATCTATCTGAACACCTTGGTCTAGACTGTGAGTTAGAAAACTGGAGTATATGTCTTACAAAGGAAAATAGAGGCATTCCTTGGCTATTTTACCACTACTGTTTCAAGACTGCATTTTTAAAAGCCCATAAGGCTATGAACACTTTGCTATCATATTTCATACTGTAAAATTTGTTTCAGTCTTATCCAGTTTCAAAAGAGACCTCACAATGATGTAATTATTTTGGGAGGCTGGCTGATAACATAAAAAATAAGAGATTTGATGTGTTGACTTATATTTAATATTACTAAGAATTTGAGGGCATGTGATAGAAACAAGCTAGTTGAAAGATTAAGCTTTTGTTTTACCTTAAGCTGACATAATTAATGCCTTACTGTCTATTTGAGAACCAAGATAATAAGGAAAATATATTTTTCTAAAAATGGAATGTGGTAATTTCCATAAGTCATTATTTTCATAATATATGTATCTTTTTAAAAATTCTGTTATATTAGTGTATATTTCAAAAGGGTAATGAATA